CCCCCTCCCCCAATCCTAGGGAAACTGTGGAAGCAGCTCTCCATATATTCTGTACTTAACTGTGGAAAACCACCCCCAGGTTCGTTTGGTGAGAAGTAGACACTAACCAGTATCCTGTTTGGAAGGAGGAGGGTCCAAAAAAAAAAAAAAAAAAAAAAAAAAAAAGCCTCTATACTTCCAAAAGAACAATGGTTAAGGGGGTGGAGAGATGGCTCGGAGCACTGGTTGTTTTTCCAGGGAACCCAGGTTCAAACCCCATCATCCACACGGTAGTCCACAACTGTCTTCACTCGTGTTAGGAAATCTGATACCCTTACATTGACATATGTGGAGGCAAAACAGGAATTACATAAAACTAAAAATACAAAAATAAAAAAGAATCTAAAAGGTCCCTGTCTTTTATTGGGAACTAAATGCCCTGAAGTGGGATAGAAAACCCAAACAGATATTCAGGAGGAAAGGGGGGCATAATGAACCCCCGAAAAAGAACTGCCACACACAGACCTTGAGATGATCCTCCTGTTTCTGCCTCCCAAATGCAAGGATGATAGGCATGCACCACTACAATAGCTAGAACAATTTTCCTTTTATTTTGGTTTTTTGAGACAGGCCTTCCCTATGTAGCCTTGGCTGTCCTGGACTTGCTTTGTAGACCAGGCTGGCCTAGTACTCACAGTGATCTGCCTGCCTCTGCTACCTTGAGTGCTGGGATTAAAGGCGTCAACAACTTTTCACATGAATGCTTTTATAATTTGGACGTATCACTAAGGATCAACTTTCTGTGCAGATTTTTTTTCAATTTTAAGTGACTGGTAAAAAAAAATAGGTTGCACACCATCTTTTTTTCTTTTAAAAATTTGTGTTTTGCCTGTATGCATGTATATGTACCATGTGAATGCCTGATACCTGCCAAAGTCAGAGGGTGTCCAGAATTGAACCCAGGCCCACTGAAAGAACAATTAAGTTCTCTTCCCTCTAGCCATCATTTTTCCTTTAATTAAAAAAATCTTTTTATGTGTATGCATGTTTTGCCTGCATACATATCTATGTGTCATATATGTAGAAGAGGGCATCAGATCCCATTGGACTGGAGTTACAGTTGTGAGCCACCATGTAGGTGATGGGAAATGAACTTGGACCCTCTAGAAGAGCAGCCAGTGCTCTTGACCACTGAGCCTTCTCTCCAGACCCTTCCTTAAAAATTTATTTTGTGCATGCATGATACCCATAGTTGAAGAACAGAGTCGCTGATCTCTTTCTACCTTCATGTAGAACATGAGGTTTAAACTCAGGTTGACAGGCTTGTGTAGCAAGATCCTTTATCCACTGAACCATCTCTCTGACCTCTGTATTATCTGAGACAGGGTATTGCTGTGTAGTCAAGCTGTTCTCAAACTTGCTATCCTCCTGCCTCAGCTTCCTGAGTGATGGGGTTATTAGGTAAGTACCACCATGTTCAGCTCTCCCACTTTTTTTTTTTTGAAAAATTGAAAACCTTCAGTAGTATTACACTTTGTTATAGTGACAGGTGGGTGCACACCTTTAATCCCAGAAAGGTGATCTCTGGGATCACCAGGCCAGCCTGGTCTACAAGAGTACCAGGACAGCCAGTGCTACACAGTCTTGAAAAAAGTAATATATAAAATAATCGTGTTTTAGACAATATAGCACAGGGCTGACTCATGGTTCTTCAACTTCAGCCTGCCAAGCATCGGGATCCAAGCATGCACTGCCACACCCTGTGTAAAATTAGTAGATCAATGTTGCAGTCTCTTTTTATAGGCAGACACTTTTCCTAGAGCAACAAGAACAGCTCTGTTCGATCCCTGGACAGTCTGTGCATAACCTTTTGTAATGCTCCCACCCATTAGAAACAGCTACTGGACATGGAAATGGAGGCCTGTCAGCCCTGCTCCACAGGAGGATCAAGCCAGATCACAAGTTGAAAGACAATTTAGTGAGATATTAGCTCAAAGTGAAGGTAGAAAAGCTGTGCATGGTGGCACATGCCTTACATCCCACAGCTCAGAGGAAGGGGGGGGGGCTCTATGAATTCCAAGTCAGCCAAGGTTACAAAGCGAGTCCCTGTCTCAAACACACACACACACACACTTGAGTTGGGGCAAGATCACATGTGTAATCCCCAGTGTAATAGACAAGCATGAACACACCCAAAAAAATCAACACAGCAAGGTATATAGGACAACATTTATTCCCATTTTACAGATGAGGAGACAAACTCAGGCAGCTTCTGTGATTACCTCACTCTGGACCACACAGGTCAGGGACTTTTGACTTTAGTGGCTCAGCATTCTTGGGTTCCCTACCTTCTCTCTGCAGCCATGACACCAGTTACTTCTCAAAATGGTAGCCCAGAAGCAAGTGAACGTGTTTTCAGCTGCTTCTGTCAACCAAAGCAGACCCCCACCAGCACCCCACAGCAGGAAGCAGAGCTGTGTGTGGCCATACTGCCCTCAGTATGGCTGATCTCATCAGAGAACTGGATCCACAGTAGAGAGCAGAGTGCAGAAGATATCAAATTTTTGTCAATTACTTCTAGTCTGAGTTCCATTTATTGAGAGCTTACTCTGCCCTGGCTACTTCACTTGGGACCCAGAACAAGGCAGACAAACATGGACTCTGCCTTTGTGGAGCTCATGTTTCAATGCATTCTTCAGCAATTTCACCAACTGATGCTAAAGGCTCAGTGTCAAAGTCTTTGCCTAGTAAGGGGCTGTGGCTGTGGCTGAGTGGGAAAGCCTTTGTCTAGCATCTCCCTATGAGAGGATGGGGCATGGCTCAGCAGCAGAGCCAATTGTCTGTCCTGCATGAGGCTCTGGGGTCCATCCCCAGGACTGCAAAAAGGAAAGCAAGGAACATTCCTTAAGTGCCAACAAGACTGATGAGCTGCACCCGCCTACATCAGTGTTTGGTGCAGTCACAACGCCACCCCATTTCAAAGCACAGCGCCAACATCTAACTTCTCTGAAACTGGCAACTTTTGCGATAAATAGCAGTTACTACCCACTGTGCACCCAGAACAAATGCCCATTACAGTCTCTACCATTTCTTCCCATCTCACAAACAAGTGAGCAGCCTAATTCCCACTCCTGATACCCACTTGACTGCCCTTGTCCCTGACACTGGAGCAAACACATAGCCAAACAAGATGGATTCAGAAAGCACCAAGTCATACAAAAGAAAGAAAAGCAGCAATGCAACAGATAGGACAGGATCGGTGGAAAGGGCTACTTCGGATGAGGTGGTTGAAGAGGCAACTGTTTGGAGTGAAAGTTACCAAGGACTAAATCGCATCGACAAATCTGCCAACAGAACGGGAAAATGCTAGCAGCACACGAGAGGGACCAGCCCAGACCTGGAGACTACAAACTGCTTGGGTTAGTAAAGAAACAGAAAAATGGGGTAGGTTGGACCACCACAGAGAAAGATCACAGGAGGAGCTAAATTCCATGGCATTATATAGACTAGAGTTCAGGTTTTATTCTAAGAGCAGAAGGAAGCCTTTGAAGCCTTTTGGGGAAATGGCATGATCTGTTTTGTTTTCCAAATTGGCTAAACAATGTAGAAAAGTGACTTGGAAGTAATGTGGTTGAAAACAGAAGTACTATACATATAGTATGCAACAGTAACTAAGACCAGGATGATAACAGAAGAGGCAGACAGACAGCAGATGCTGCAGGTCATCTGGATGCAGCAGTGGTGGTGGAAGGAGAGGGTGACGACAAGGGAGCCATCAAGGTCAACTTCAGGGTTGTGCCTTATTCTAACATCCTGTAGCGTTGAGGATGACTGGAAGAGGCCCTACTTTTAAGTGAGAGATCAAAACTAACTGGGATGGATACTTTTTGCTAGATTCAAGCCTTCCTAGATTCTTGACATCTTCTCTACCCTTTGGATCCAAGCAGTCTTCAAATTTAATCTGCTCTCTTATTGGATCTGTTCCATTCATCCCCATTATTGCCCTGGATTCAGTACTGTCAAGCTTCATGTCTTCAACATGGCTTGCAGCTGTGATGAACAAAAAGCACTTCAGACACCAGCCTATGGGTCCTTCCCACCAGCTTTTCTCTTTGGCCACAGGCCTAATCGTGTGTGTGTGTGTGTGTGTGTGTGTGTGTGTGTGTGTGTGTGTGTG